ACACTACAACGTATGGAAGATTTTCGACGTCGCGACAAAAGAAACAGTGGCAGCACGTGATGTCATCTTCTACGAGCGACTCACCCTGCCAACGTACCTTGCCAACCTGGCCGAAAATCAAGACCCCACAGGTGGTTTTCGTGGAGACTGAGCCTTCGCCTCAGCAGAAGATGAAGCTGACTGGGACGAGCAAAATGTGGACAGAGCCTCGGAAGAAGCCGGACCTCTCCCCTACTGCTCAGTCGACGTACCGATGGACGAAGAAAATCCTCGCGAAAGTGTCAACGCCGAAGTCTACTACCACTTCGCCGACAACGGTTACGTTACACCTGCTGAAGTCAACACCAACGAAGCAGAACGCATAGGGCCCAACTTCGCACCTGATCCAGAAGCTGGAGACGAAGCAGTTTATCCCGAGGATCCCACACTCCCCCGCTACACACAGAGTGGGCTCCAGATACTTGGGCTCGTCACCGCAGTCCACGGCGCCGCCATTCCTAAGGAGCCTGCGACAGTTCAGCAGGCTCTGGGGGGGGAGCACAGAGAAAAATGGCGCGAAGCCATGGACAAGGAGCTGAAAGCACTGGAGGAACGCAACACCTGGAAAATCGTTCCTATCGGCGTAGCACGGAGCAAGACCATCCTCACCGGAAAATGGGTCTTCCGCGTGAAGACGAAGGCCGACGGCACCATCGACAAGTTTAAAGCGCGCTGGGTCGTACGCGGTTTCGACCAAGAGCACGGACGCGACTTCACCGAAACCTTCGCTCCGGTCAGCCGCCACACTTCACTGCGAATTCTCCTCGCAACCGCCGCCATGAAGAAGAAGAAGTTGCGATAGATCGACGTCGCAAACGCATTCCTCTACGCACCTGTCGACGCAGAGATTTTCGTGGAGCTACCACACGGCTCCAACACAGACTCCACACATGTCTGCCAGCTGCTCAAGTCGCTTTACGGGATCAAGCAAGCCCCGTGACTGTGGCAACAGTACCTGCACACCCGCCTCATCCGCGTCGGCTTCAAACAGCTACCGCACGATCAAGGCATGTACCGGCTCACGAAGAACACCGACTACATCCTGCTAATCGTTTTCTACCGACGAAATCACCACCTGGTTCGAAGGGGAGCTACAGCAAGACCTCACACTCACGGTTTCGTCTACCGTCACCCAGTACCTCGGCCTCAACATCCGAGAAGAAGTAAACACGATCTACCTCAACGCCGCGAAATACGCCGACACCATCGCCAAACGCTTCGCTCTCACGCCGACCGCCATCTCCACGCCGTACCGCTACACGACAGGAAACAACAAGGGAGAATCCGTTCCACTCAGATCCGCCGACATACGCGACTATCAGAGGAAGCTAGGATGCCTCCTCTTCGCAGCCGTCACCTGCCGTCCTGACCTTTCATACTCCGCAAGCCAGCTCGCCACCTACCTCAAGAAGCCCGAAGCAGAGCATCTAGCGGAGCTTGACCGCGCTCTTCACTACCTCGTCAGCACCCCGACAATCGGCCTAACTTACTACAAGAACGCAACTGCACCGACTAAGTTAATCGGCTACGTCGACGCCGATCACGCTGGCGACTCCGACAACAGACGCTCACGCACCGGCTACATCTACCGCCTCGAACCCATCGGACCTATTTCTTGGCAGTCGAGCAAACAAGAACTGATCGCCCTCTTATCAGCTGAAGCGGAATATATCGCACTCTGCTCAGCCACCAAAGAAGGACTTTACCTTCGCGAGCTGCTGGAAGAAGCGAAGTTAGCCGAGTTACCCAACTTCACCCTGTTCTGCGACAACCAGTCGGCAATTCGCATCGCCAGTAAGAACGGCTTCGCGAACAGGACGAAACACATCGCCCTGCGCTACTTCTTCGTGAAGGACGAGATCGAGAAGGGAAGACTCGAGCTGTCATACTGTCCCACATCCGAGATGGCAGCTGACTACCTGACCAAGAAGCTCGGAAAGCAGAAATTCGAGTACTGCATGCTGCTGACTGGACAGAGCCACGTCACCAGCAACGACACTCCAGAAGCGAAGGGGAGTGTTGGAAACAATGAATCTTAAACGCCTCTGTCGTGTCGAAACACTAAGGCACAATCGAAGCGAAGCCTATCGAAGCACCAGCGAGTCAACTTTGGAGGTTGAGAGGTTGCTGGAGGTTACGCGAAAGTCAAAGGTCAGCGACCTTTGACCTGACAAGTACAGCGCGACAGCAAGGACACACAACTGACTCGCTACAGAGCAGTTGCCCGAGTCGTTACTCTATCGAACCGCAACAGCAAAAGTAGTTATAACTGTATCCTTTCATATTCCTTGTAATCTTATATATATCCTTGTATCTTCTTGTTTTAATTAACTTACTTTGCCCTCACATACCAGCGCAAGGTGGTTCAAACCTTTTCATTAAAGCTTCCGCTGTTACAACTATTCCTACCCAGAGTTTACCCCTGCAAAGATCCTAAGGGCTTTTCTCAGCCCAACAACCTGCACTTAGACCCCTTGCTAACGAGACAGTTGTCTTGAAGGCGATCAAATATCGAGTGTTGTACGCGATCAAATATCGAGCGTTGTACGCGGTAGGCGGGCCGCAGGTGCTTACTGCGCAGTTAAGGAAATCAGAAAATATCATTACAAGTTTACAGAAGTGAAACATATATTGTAACCAGGTACAGTTGCAAAGGAGCAGCGAAATCGTGCGACAGCCAGTGATGTGTTGTTGCACCACCTGATGCTGCCTGAGCACCTGAACACATCGCTCCACGTTCGCCTCGTCGCTCATGTAGCACCCAATTTCGTCCCTCCCGCTTCACCATCGCCCCCTTCCCTTAGAGCGTGGTACACCTGATAGGGTTTTAGCGACGATCCTACGGAACAGTTGGCAATCTTACGGAACAGTTGCAATCCTACACAACAGTTTCCTACCCACTTTTGTACACTAATGATTTCGATGATTTCGATTGGTTATCACTGAAAACAATTGTTACTGTGTTAGGGCACTGTTGTGTAGGATTGCAACTGTTCTGTAAGATTGCCAACTGTTCCGTAGGATTGTCACTAAAACCCTATCAGGTGTAACACGCTCTTACCTGCTCGCTCCGTCGCGCCTATCGCCCCACCCCTGCCTGCCCTGCCACCCACCCACGTCACTCACTCCCTCCTTCGCCTTCGTCGCTCACCTGTCTATCGACTGGGACATTCGGGACATCGAAGCAGGGAGTGGTAGTATCAGGCTGCTCTGCCAGGGCCTCGGATTCGTTCACCATTCTTTCGCCATTCGTTCGCCATTGCTTCGCCACGCCCCTTCCCCACCCCAGACTCCTCGGCACAGCAGTATCCGCTTGTGCCGCGTCGTAATCGTACACAAAACGTGGATTCAATCCGCGACGCTTGCTCCCGGCACGCGCGGAAATGTTGCGCTGCGCACCACCCGGGACCAACGCGCCCTAGCGGCCGCGAGGGCGGGGTTCGGAGGAAATTAGGCGCCGCTTCGGCGAGTGACGAGCGCACTGGGAAGGGCACAAGGAACAGAGGGCAGGCACGAGATGGGCGCACCGTGCTGAACTCTCGCACTCTCGATCTGACATGCCTTGCGAGGAGTGCCAACAGCTCGCTGCGAGGTCGTGTTCACGCGCGCACAGATGCATAGACATAGACACATAGGAGACGTAGGGTTGAACATTCATAAAGCCATCTAGTCTTAAAGACGGGGATTCACCATCGCGACGTAGAGGCGTAGAGGCGTGGGCCCGCCGAGGCGTTGAGGCGTACGAATGGCATTGGTGAGCTACCAATGCCACAGTTGCTTTTGAGAACGCTCACAAGCAGTCCCGACACACGTGGACGACTGCACGCATACTTGTGACTCGAGCCGACACAGGAGGGCGGGAGGAGGTGTGCCGGGGGAGGGTGTGGGAGAAGAAGCAGCATTGGAAGTGCGAAGGCGGTCGGACGGAAGTGCGCGCAAGCGGGCGCGTGAGAGTGGACGCGTGAGAGTGGACGCGTGAGGGTGGGCGCGTGAGTGGGTGAGTGGGAGGGTAAGACGGACAAGGCGGCATGGCGTCGTCGCCGGCAGCGGCGGGCGCGGGAGGGGCGTCAGCGGCATCAGCGGCGTCGGCGCGGTCGGCGGAGCAGGCGGCGATCGAGCGCGCGATCGAGGCGCGCGTGCCGTGGCACCAGCTGCCGCAGCGCGCGCGCAACGCTCTGGGGTCGATGCAGGTGTACCTGCAGCGGTGAGTGCGGTGGCTTGCACGGGAGGAGGGAAAAAATCCGCGCTGTAGCACTTGCAGCAAGAAAGGTTGGTTCATTTCTCCTGAGATGTCTGGAGAGTCATTCCGGTGCGATCCATGCATGCATCAGACTTGGGAATTCTTGAAACAGAATTTCTAATTTGTGGTGGGTACCATGCATCCATACAGCACTGCGAAGTGGGTACGTGCGCGCATGGGTCTGCAGCAACGAGTGCAGTGCGGCAGCTGGTGCCATGGCAGAGGGGGCAGAGCGGGGAGAGGAGGGAGGGGAGGGGAGGGGAGGGGAGGGGAGGGGAGGGGAGGGGATGCGAGGGAGAGAAAAAAATGGAGGGAAAGAGGAAAAGGAGAATGAGAGGAGAGGATGTATGACATCAGGGTGGAGTGAAGAGGGGGAGAGGGAAAGAGAGGGGCAATCAGTCACTCTGCCATGCATCCCATGCATCCCCTCCCACCCATCTGCACATCCCTCCCCCAACACCTTCCTTCTCTTCTCCTCTCCCACCCCACACCTCACATGGCACGCGGCAGAAACATGGCTGGGAGTTGTCACGCATGCAGGCAGCCAGTCAGCATGCCCTCGCCACCATCGCTACCCTCCATCCACCTCCCATGCATCCCCCCTCTCACCCATCCGCAAAGCCAACCATCATCCCACCCTCCCTTTCCCCGCTCCTCCCCCCTTCCCCCTCCCCCCTCTTCTCCCCCCGTCCCCCTCTTCCCCGTGCCACCCACGCGCCCCATGGCACGTGGCAGGGCCATGGCGGAGTCGCTGCGCATGCAGCGCCCGTGGCACGCGCAGCTGCTGGGGCCCTTGTGCACCGAGCACGATTACTACCTCGACCTGCTCTCCATCCTGCATCACAACCAGGACGTCAGTCATCTCTAACACCCCTTTGCTCGCGCCTCTCCCTCCCCCGCTCCTCTTTCCCGCTCCTCTCCCCCGCTCCTCACTCCCGCTCCTGCTACTTATCTACCTTTGAAAAGCAATCTCCCTTTCCTATACTTCCAATTTATCCCTCTCTCTCTCTGTCGTTCACCCACTCGCGCAGCACGCAAGTCCACCCCCGTGTCCCATCCTGCTTCTCTCGTCCTCCATTATTGCTTGTCAGTCATAAGCCCACCCTCAACCGCCCACACCCCTCTCCCCGCCCGCCCCGCACCCCTGCCGTTCGTCTGGGCTGGGCTATGAGCGCACATTGTGCACGGCTCCTCGTGTCATGGCGTTGCCCTTGCCACATCTTTCGTGACCTCTTGTCTTTCCATCTAGCCCGTAACCTTGCCTCGCCCTCACTGCCCCCACCATGCCTGACGCAGTGTCTGGGATGGGCTGGCTATTGTGTGTGTGGCATGCTCTGTCGGCATGCGATGCTCGCACTTGCGCTGTCCTGTGGTGTGCATGATTCGTTCTATGCGCGTTCCTTACACCCCGTGGCCTTACTCATTCGTGTGCTCTCATGCATGCGACTTGCACTTTCCATGCTTGTGACTTGCATGCGCCACGCATGTGCCATGCATGCGCCACGCATGTGCCATGCATGCGCCACGCATGTGCCACGCATGCGCCACGCATGTGCCACGCATGTGCCACGCATGTGTATGGCTGTTCAAGTGAAGCCACCATCACAGACTCCCCTCTCCCACCTTTCCCGACCCCCCCTGACACCCGTGTGCCCCTGGCGGTGCAGGTGTTCCCGTACCATCTGAGTGCGTACATCTGTGGTGTGCTGCGCATCTCGCCCTTCCGCTTCTACCGCGACATGCTCGTAGACGCCATGGCGCAGGGTCAGTGACTCAGTGGCAGCGCAGGGCGTGGCATTCACTGCATGTGCTGGATTAGAGTGTTTTTGTTACAGCTCTGCGGATTCATGCCGAGCCGCTGCACCGCGTACATGCCATCGTACGGCAGATACAGCATGGGGCATCGTGATTCTCCTTGCACCTCCTCCTCGTTCCTACCTTCCCCTACGCAACCCTCCCTTACCACGCCAACTCAAACCCTTATCGTGTCCCATTCGAACCCCTGTCCTGTCTCCTCTCCTCTTCTCCCCCACCCTTGTGTACCCTCCCAGAGCGGTCTTATGACAGTCTGCCCAACATCACAGCGGCCGACATAGTGCGCGTGCTGGGCGTGGGGCGCAACCAGTACCTGCACACCATGCTCGCTGCTCGATCCACCGTGCGTGCAAGCATGCCATGGCATGGGATGGCATGGCATGGCATGGGATGGCATGGCATGGCATGGGATGGCATGGCATGGGATGGCATGGCATGGGATGGCATGGCATGGGATGGCATGGGATGGCATGGCATGGCATGGCATGGCATGGGATGGCATGGGATGGCATGGGATGGCATGGGATGGCATGGCATGGCATGGCATGGCATGGGATGGCATGGGATGGCATGGGATGGCATGGCATGGGATGGCTTGTGACAATCTATGGATGTTGCATGCGCATGAGTGATGCATGCACTGTGGAAAGGCAGTCACAAGTTGCTGCTGCGGCACTAGAGGAGAAGCTTGACATTATCGAAACAATGAGGCGGCGAAGCGCATGCACGAACAAAGTTTGCAACAAATTATATATTTAAGACTTCACACCCCTTGGAAGGCAGTCACAACCAACCACCCCCCCCCCTTCTCACACCACTCCTCCACCGCACTACCATTTTATTCAGAATCCAATCTGCTCCGTTTCGATTAGAACCAAAGGGACAAAAGCAAGTCGAAAGCAAAGTCCAGTTTGACCCAAAGCACACTGGTTCGTGGCAACAGAAGGTGCAGAGGCTGATGCAGAGGCAAGGGGTTTATCTTTCGCTGATGCACTCCCTCGAACTCACACCTTATCATCACACCAAACTCGCAATCATTCCAACTCTCCTCACACATCATTCCCGTCTTTCCATGTCCCTTCCCTTGGCACCCTCCGCACATCACTCTCCTTCCCCGCACCCTCATGCGCGCAGCTAATGTGGCGGCTCAGCCGCAAGCAGCAGCTGCGGGACTCCCTGCCGCAGCAGCCAGCAGCAGCAGAAGCCGCCCTGCCGCCGTGGTGGGGGGTTTCAGCAGTGGCGGTGGAAGCAGACGAGCTGCAGGGGCTGCCTGAGGACGAGCTGTATGCGCTGCAGGTGCTGCAGCACGCGGTGGGCGGGCGCATGCTGGTGGGGGAGATGCGCGAGGGTGTGGTGCGGCAGCTGTACTGCCGCCACTTGGTGTACCTCGACGTGCCTGTGCTGCCCTCTGACCGCGTGCAGTGTGAGTGTGCAGTGTGAGTGTGCTGTGATGCGTGCACTGAGGTGTGCAGTGATGCATGTGCCACGGCCTGGAATACGGTGCGTGGTGTGATGCACTGTGTTCCTTGTTCATTCGTAACTGCACCGTGTGGAGAACCATGCCATAAGAAACCACCCCTCTTCTCTCCACCCCTGCTTGCCTGCACCGCGCCTGCCCCGCAGTGCTTCCTTTGGATGGCTTTGTGTCCAACCGCAACACACAGGGCGCCAGGGACATGGAGAAGTGAGCTGGGTGGTGCCCGGGGGAAAAGGGAAAGGCGTTGGAGAGGGATGGGGAAGGGCGGTGGGCAGAGGGGAAGGGAGGGGCGCTAGGCAGGAGGGAAGGGAAAGGCGGTGGGCAGGGGGAATAACCAACCTTGCGGTACCTGCTCATTTCTGTGCGGCCTTTAGCCATGGTCACTTGTGCGCCTCATCTCATCCTTCCACTGCCTGCCTGCTCTGCCTCACGCCATCAACCATTGCTCAACGCTCCCCTCGAACCCTCCCATCCCTTTCCTCTCTCCCTTTTCCCGTCTTCTTCCCCCCACTTCCGTTCTCACTTACAGTACCTCTCCCACCGCCCTCCCCAAACCCCCCACATTTCCACTTCCCCCAAACGCCCCCGTTTCTTTTCCCCGAACTCTCCCCAACCCTCCCCCACTCTCCTCCCTTCTCTACCCTCTCTCCCATTCATTTCCTCTCTCCCCCTCTCTCCCCCACTCTCCCCTTTCCCCCCCCACTCTCCCCCACTCACCTGCCTTCCCCCATTCTCTTCCTTACGCTCTCTCCCCTTCTCCCCTTCTCCCCTTCTCCCCTTCTCCCCTTCTCCCCTTCTCCCCTTCTCCCCTTCTCCCCTTCTCCCCTTCTCCCCTTCTCCCCTTCTCCCCTTCTCCCCTTCTCCCCTTCTCCCCTTCTCCCCTTCTCCCCTTCTCCCCTTCTCCCCTTCTCCCCTTCTCCCCTTCTCCCTTCTCCCCTTCTCCCCTTCTCCCCTCTCCCCTTCTCCCCTTCTCCCCTTCTCCCCTTCTCCCCTTCTCCCCTTCTCCCCTTCTCCCCTTCTCCCCTTCTCCCCTTCTCCCCTTCTCCCCTTCTCTTCCCCACTCTCAACGCCCTCCCCCCTCTCTCTCTCCCCCCTCCCTCCCCCACTCTCACCCCCCTTCTCCCCCTCTCTCCCCCACTCTTCCCCCCATCTCCCCCTCACTCCCCCCCCACTCTCTCCCCCACTCTCTCCCCCACTCTCTCCCCCCCGCTCCCCGCCCCCCAGGCTGTTCTATGACCTGCTAGTGGCGGCGAGTCACACCACGACAGTGGCAGCGCTGGCGGACACGCTACAGGTGCCGCTGCACCGCCTGCTGCCCATCGTCTCCCTCGCCTGTCGCCTGCGCTGGGCCGAAAAGCTCCCCCCGCTCCCCTCCCCCACTCCTGCTTCCTCTCGCCCCCTACCCTCCCCTCTTCCTAGCCCCCTGCCTGATGCCCTGCCTAGCCCCCTCCCCGACCACTTGTCTAGCCCCTTGCCGCGGCCTGACATAGTGGCTCCTGTGGCCTCTGTTGTTGTGGCTAGAGAGGCTCACGATGGAGAGCGTGGAGATGACACACGTGCTGCTGCTGTTGCTGTTGCTGATGTTTCTGTTGCTGAGATTGATCCTGATGCAGCTGGTATGAGGGATTCACTTGAGGTGGTGGCAACAGGACCAGCCACGGATGGCACCCCAAGACTGCCTGTTCCTGTGGTTCCACCGACCTCTGAAACTCCCCTTACTTCTCTTCCTCCTGCTGCTGCTCCACTTGCTGCTGCTGCTGCTGCTGCTGCTTCGGCTTCGTCTGCTGTGGGACATGCAGCAGCATGTGACGATGCACATGTGCCCGATGCAGCAGCGGCAGTGGGTGACGCAGTAGGTGACACATCAGACACAGCAGCACTGCACACAATGCACGCACAACCACTGCTCACAACACCACACGCATCCCTAGAGTCAGAAGCAGCAGCAATTTCCTCTTTATCGCCCATGCACACACCCACCAGTGGGCCTCTCACTCCCACACCACCTCACTCGTCCCTTCCTCATGTCACCTTCCCAATACCCATCCCCTCCACCTCCCCAACGCCTGCAACTCCGCTGATCTCCTCACCCCACCTCGCCCGCAACCCCAGCTCGTGCAGCAGCAGCAGTGGCAGCAGCGTTCTGGGGATGGGAGTGGGGGCTGCAGAGAAAGGCGCTGGAGCAGGGGAGGTGGTGGACACAGCAGCAGCAGCAGGGGTAGTGCCTGCTTCCGTTCTGATGGGAGGGGTGGAGACGGGGTCAGTGGGGGGGTTAGCGGGAGGGTCAGTGCGGGGGCCAGTGGAAGGGGCCATGGGGAGGGCAGTGGAGGGGGCAGTAGGGGGAGCAGCAGCAGAAGAGGCGGAGCAGCGAGTGAGTGTGGCGCTGCTGGTGGATGCGCGCATCACGTCGTTCCTCATGATGGGGTCCTTCTCCCACGGTCAGCACCATGCGCCTTGCCCCGCCCATCGCACAGGGCCACATGGGACACGGGGGCCACATGGGGCACGGGGGCCACATGGGGCACGGGGGAAAGTGGGGGCAGGGAGGGCAGGGGGGCAGGGCTAGCAGGGGGAACAGGGGGAGCAAGGGGGGCAGGGGGATATAGCGTAGGAAGCAATGGCGGCACAGAGGGAACTTGTCCCTCGTGCTTGGGTTGTTCTTTCACTGTGCGCATGTAGCAGGGTGGGGAGGGGTTTACACAGGGACAAAAGGAGGCCATCACATGGGGCTCATGTCATGAGCGCAGAGGCTACGCGCACATGTGCCATGCCATGCACCTGCCCTGTGCTTCCCCTGTGCCTACCCTTAGGCACAGCAATAGCGTGACCACACCACACTTGCTTCCATCTTATATCTCCTTACACACGCCTCACCTTTCATCTCTTTCTCTCCCCTTCCCACCCCCGTCCTGCCATCTCCCCCCACGCGTCCCCTGCCCTCCTGCCTCCCGCCACAGATCTGAAGCGGCACGCAGTGATGCTGTTTGAGGCGGGCAAGCTAGCGGAGCCGCAGGTGCTGCAGCTGTGGGAGCAGCTGCAGCTCGTGGAGCACAGCCCCGACCTCGCAGGGGACCTGCTGCGCCTGCGCACCCTCGCCTCCTGCCTCCGCTGCGCCATCGCCACCCTGCGCTTCCTCTCCCTGCCCCCCTCCTCCTCCTCCCCCTCCGCCTCCCCTTCCGCCTCCCCTTCCGCCCCTCCCTCTGCCTCAACTTTTGTCTCCCCTTCTGCTCCTCCATCCGCCTCCCCCTCCGCTTTCCGTGCTGCCTCTTCCTCTCCTGTGCCCTCTTCCGCTGCTTTATCTTTGCCCGCCTCTCACGGTCAACCACTGATGAACCACGAAGGCCCCTCACGGACTAGAGCAGGGGATTGTGAGGAGGAGGACGACGAGAAGGAGAAGGAGAAGCGGAGCGGACTGGGGAATGGGATGGAGAGGGGCGAAGAGGAGGGGACAGCACAGGTAACTCATGAGCACATGCACGAGAGCATGGAGGGAAGGCAAGACCCGGAGGAAACAACTGCCACGTGCTCCCTTCCTGTTGCGCCCTCTCCTCCTGAAACCACTGCTGCTGCTGCTTCTGACTCTGCCACTGCTGCCGGCCCACTCCCCCTGTCACGCGACTTGCCTGTGCCTGAATCCGCTGATAGCCACTTGTTGCCAGCAGCAGCAGGAGAAGCAGCAGCAGCAGCAGCAGCAGGAGCAGCAGCGGCAGGAACAGCAGGGTCGGCAACTGTTGTCCCGACAGCAACATCATCATCAAGAGGAGACATGTCGGGTACTAGAGATGAGCCTGAAGCAGCTACCGCTCTGCACCCACCTCTATCACAAGGAACCTCCTCCCCATCAGCAGCTTTGGTTTCTGGTACTGCTCCTTCCTCTGTTGACAGTGACACCACTGCAACCGCCAGCACTGCCAGCAGCAGCACTATGAGCACCACCATTGACTGCAACACAACCTACCCCGCCCCTACCCCTACACACCGCACACCTCCTCCCACCATCATCACCTCTCTGCACTCTCCACACTCGTCCTCCACCACTCCGCACTCCTCTGCATCCCCCTCCGGCCCCACATGGTCCCACCGCCTCAAGACTGCAGCAGAGGCAGCAGGGGCGCGTCTTTCCAGCTCCGTTCCCTCCCACCCGCTCCCCTCCCTCTCCGCGCTCTCCTCCTTCTCCTCGCTCTCCTCCCTGCACCTCTACCCGGGCAGCATCTCCCTTGTGCTGAGCGAGGTGGCAGGGTCGGTGGCAGGGTCGGTGGCAGGGTCGGTGGCAGGGTCGGTGGCAGGGAGTGTGGCGGAGCGGGTGACGGCAACAGCAGACTCCCTTGCTGTAGCGCTCACGCCCAGGGGAAGCAGCAGCAGCAGCAGCAGCAACACGATGCGCAGCAGCAGTGAGAAGGGCGTGAGCAGATCCAGCTCTGCTGGCACGCCGAGGCAGCATGTCTCTGCCGCAACCGCCACTCCTGCTGGAAAAGCCTCTGAAACCACTCCTGCTGGAAAAGCCTCTGAAACCACTCCTGCTGGAAAAGCCTCTGAAGTCACTCCTAGCTTGTGGAGCCTCGCGCCAGGCAATTCCTCGACTCTTCCTCCTGTGCGGTGCAACCGAGTAGAGATCATCCGAGGGGAGAGCCTTGCGAGTCTGTCGCCGTCTATACGGCAGCGCCTGCTGTCCCGCGACTACCACGTGATTGTCTCCGCTCTCCCGCTCCTCCCCTCCGCCATGCTCTCGCCTCCCTTCCCTGACTCGCTCCCCACTGCCACTGCTCTCCCCGCTGCGTTCACCACTGCCCCTGCTGTAGCAGCAGCACCAGCAGCACTTGCAGCACCTGCAGGTTGTGCGGGCAAGTGGGAGTCCCCGCTACCTGCGGCTGTCAGCATCACATCTCCCAGGAGCCCCTCTGCCGCTCTGCCAACCCACATGCCTTCCCTCTCCGCTGCAGCGGCTGCACCAGGGAACCTAGCATCACCCCCCTCCGCTGCAGCAGCAGCACCAGCGGCACAAACACCACCAGCAGCAGCGGCAGCAGCAGTGGTGCACTTCGGGTCCCCCGCGCCTGCCTTTGCCACGCCATGGCTGAAGCTTCTCCTGTACGTGCTCTCGCGCTCGGGGCCCCCCACCATTGTGCTCGTGCGCGGGCAGCGGCTCAGGCACCTCCCCTTGCTGCTGCGCGCGTGTGAGTGCGCGCTGGTAGGCATGTGGGATGGGGGGGACATTCGCAAGGGCGGCAGGGCGGGCGGGGGAGGTGGGGATGAGTGGTGGGGGGATGGGGGGGAGAATGGCGGTGGGGGAGGGGGGTGGGGTGAGGATACAGTGGGGGGGATGACAGTGGTGCCTAGGGGTGTGTTGCTGCATGTGTTGAACACGCTGCTGCTGCGATCAGCTGTGATGGTGCAGCCTCTTAGCAGCTCGCGCTATGCTGTAAGGCACATACCGCTGCCACTCCTCCCCACGCACGGGCACGCTCTTGCTCCTGGGAATGCTGCTGAAGGTGCTGCGGATGGTGCTGCTGCAGGTGCATGTGGTGCTGACAGTGATGCTATGGAAGCATGTGACTTGCTACGTGGGAGGTCAGCGGCAGAGGAAACAGAGGCAGTCGAAACAAGGGCAGCTGAAGCAGGGGCAGCCGAAGCAGGGGCAGCCGAAGCAGGGGCAGCCAAAGCATCGGCAGCTCACAGGGACCAAAACGGAGTGGCATGTGGCGGCAGGTCGAGCAAGAACAGCACGGGTAACGAGGCAGAGGAGGAGCAGGCAGATCAGGAAACGGACAATGAGGCGGCTGCAGAGCTTGCGAGGGAGAAGGAGGGAGGTAGAGCAAGGGAGGAAGCGGAAGGAAGAGCAGAGCAGCAGGTGGAGGGGATGAGGTGCATCGACCGAGTGGTGCATGTGTTGGGGCTGACAGGCATGGGTGTGCTCACGCTCATGCACATACACGAAGGAGAACCCAGTAGTGCCGCCATGCAAGAGGCCTGGGGGCAGGATGGAACATGCACAGCGCAGCATGGCAATCAGCGTGCTCTCAGTGGTGGTGCTTGTGACGATGGTGATCGCGCTGCTGCTGCTGCTGCTGCTGCTGCAGGAGTCACTGCTTTAGCAGGGGTTGCGTGCGGTTCTGTGGGGTGCAGCAATGGCTGGGTGCCTCACTCGCTCAGCCTTGGCTTGCCTCTGTTTGATGCGTCCCTCTGTGCTCAGGTAACGACGTTGGCAATGCTCGCTCGGGAGGTGATTTTATCTGGTCTGTTTTTGGTTTTGTTAATCCTGTGATGGTTGGAAAGAGTTTGGTTAGTGATCCTGTGGATCTGTTTTTCTGGTCCCTTTTCGGTGTTAACTACAGGCAGCAGGTTCAGCATCCCCATATCTCCCATCTCCCCCATTGCCCTGTGAACCCTGCACCCCAACCCCTACTGCGCCCTCCCCCTTTGCCACCACCGCAGGTGTGCAGAACGGCTCACCAAGGGCCCAGCCTGCGCACAACTCTTGAGACGTGGCAAACCCCCTTCCCACCCTCTCCCCTTGCCACGACTGTACAGGTGTGCAGGGCGGCCCACCAAGCATCCCTCCTGAGTGCGGCTCAGCGGCAGCAGCAGCTTGCAGCGGCCACGAGCACGCGGCACCTGCTGCTGGCTCTCATCCGTGACCTGCGCCCCCACAGCCCTCTCTGCCTCGCTGCCTCCTCCCTGCATGCACCGGGGATTTGCGCATTTCAGCGCAGGTGGTCGCTTGCAGGAGGGAGGGGGGTGTGCGATGGGGAAGGGGGAGGTGGAGGCGACTGGGAGGGGAGAAAAGGGGGAGGGGGTGGAGTGGGGTGTGCTGAGAGCGACAGCAGTGGTGGGGATGCGTGTAGCGAACAGCTGGAGCGGTCAAGAGCGAGTGCTTCTGGCAGCGCTAGTGGCTGTGCGTTCTGCAGGGCTGGTTGTGGTGGCAACGGGTGCAGCAGAGCGAGTGGCGGTACGAGGAGCGTCCAGCGGGCAGGGCAGTGAGCCGTTGATCTGTGTGCACCTCATAGCAGGGCACTGCATGCAGCCCCGATGCACGCACACCCACGCGGTGCAGCAGCACTCTCACCCGTCGCCACACAACAAGTGAGGCTCAGGCCATGGGTCTCCCTGCTTTGCTTCGTGCATTTGGTGATTCCCCTTTGCACCGTATGCCTTGTATTGTCTGTGTTATTTGTCGGATGATGTAAGCTGGGATTTGCCCTTCGCGTACATGGCCGGTGTGATGCTCACTACAGTGCTAACCTATACCCCTCCCTCCCACACGTGTGCATGTGACTGCAGCAGCGGACAGCATGACACTCCTCGTGGCAGTGCCAGTCTGAACGATGCTGGTGCTGGTGCCTCTGAAGCTGCTGGTTCCGCTGATGCTGCTGGTGCCACTGATGCTGCTAGCAGAACAGGTGGTGGCGCTGGTGGTGCGCGCTACCACGAACCAGAGGAATTGGAAGAGGACGACGACGATGATGACGACGATCTCACATCACTCGTTCTCCCCGGCTTGAACCTCTACTTTGATGGCACCTCCCTCTGGCCTTTTGACATCTCCTCGTTTCGCCAGGGAAGTGTGCCGGCAAGAGCGCTGCCATGGCATCACATCACCAGACAGCAAGCAGGCAGATAGTGCTGAGGTACCTTCATTACCGTATATGCTCCACGTGCTATTTCCGTGCACCGGCTCAGCTAGGGTGCCTTTGTTATTACGGTATGCCGTAAGGGAGCCAAACTGTGTTAGCTAGCAACTAGAGGGTGCTGGCTCCACTATGGGGCATATCAAACTTTGTTTTTAGGCTCGTTGTCATGTCACCATTGGCATACCACTAGCATTTCGTGTTCGCCTACCAACGTGAGCAGTTCAGTTTACGCACCTCCTTCAAATCCCATGGCCAGGTTGTTAGAATAGTAGGCTTAGGAGAAATTAGGTTTTAGGAAGAGAGAGGATGTTTGGCCAAGCAAGGATGGGTTTGACTATGGAGAGAGTTACAAGAAATAGGGCAAGGGAAGGTGGCCAAGGGGGGTATACCACCAACAATGAAATAGATACTACACTAACTAAGCTAATATGCAGTTATACATAGAAATACAATTTCTGACACAGGTGTTGAAATTTATGTTCAACTTGCAACCAGGACTGACAATATCAGACCTGATTAGGGCCTACGCCATTGAGGTGGTGGCCCCTGTTTTTCCAGGAAAGTCATGTTTCTCTTTTACTGCACCCTGATTGTTTTCAGGCTCCCCTGGTTCTCCACCACCACCTGTTGGTCAATCTCTTGGTCCAGCAGAGAGAGACACGCATCAGTCCCGTCAGAGACCCATGCACCCAAAACTAGATAACGTTTTGCAACAAGAACCCCATCTTGCACTCGACGATAGACGGGGAGGTGTCAGAATACGTACCGTCATGCCCCGGATATACCCATGAGCTTAGGGCGTGTTCCTACACCTCATATCAGAAACACCTCATATCAGCTTCGCGTGGTAAAATGCGCTTCAATGCGTTCAACTACGGTTGGATGCGTTTCGGTGCGGTTCGACGCGAATCTGATACGAGGTTGCCTGATACGAAGCCGTAGGAACACGCTCTTATAATCGTACTAGTGCGCTTATAGGCAGGGGCCGATTATAAGCCCATTTCAATTTTGGGTCATCTTCGTATAAGCGCACCTAAGGAATTTTGTCAGAACTAAGAGCACGAATGAATGAGCGATGAGAGAGTTGGGTACAAATAGAAACCTTAAAGGGGTTGTAAACCATATTGGCTACCCTACTATAGCCTAGACATTATAATAGAACAGATATAGTTTGACACACCCCCATAGGCAAAGTGGGGGAGAACAATGGGTCACAAGACCAGTCAAGAGACAAAAGCAATGCAAGCTCATGGTGGATCACAACGTCACCACACACTCCGAGCACAAGCAAAGGGCCACAAGGCCAGTTCACATGCAGAGGTGTCTAGTGGGGTAGACACTAAGGGGTACAGGTTTCTAGGGTTTGATATTTGTATCCAACATTTTCTTAGTTCATCCATTCCTCATTCTTCACATGTTATATAGCGGGTTCCCTAGTGGGACCGTTTCTTCCTAGGGCCCACCTTCGAAAGTTTTTTTTTAGCCTGCCCTAAACGCGCTTCGCGTCCTGCCCGAAAATTTCGCGGCCCCTTAGTGGCCTGCCCCTTAACGGCCCCTTAGTGGCCCCTTCGCGGCCCCCTTAGTGGCCCCCCCTTCGCGGCCCCTTAGCGGCCCCTTCGCTGCCCCTTAGCGGCCCCCCCTTCGCGGCCCCTTCGCTGCCCCTTAGCGGCCCCCTTAGCGGCCCCTTCACGGCCCCTTCGTGGCCCATTCGCGGCCCCCTCGCGGTCCCTTAGCGGCCCCTTCGCGGCCCCTTCGCTGACCCTTCGCGGCCCCTTCGCGGCCCCTTCGCGTCCCCGCCCCGTTGCCAGTCACGGCCCCGCCCCGTCGCCACCCGGGTGTCCCCCCTCCCTCGTCACGACGCCTCCGCAGGACCCGCGCGTCGCCCCCGCCTCGTCGCGACGCCCCTGCGGGACCCGCGCTCAAGGCGCGACACCTGCGCGTCGCGACGCCCCTGCGGGACCCGCGCGGCGTCGACCCTGCCCGCCGCGGCGCCCTGCCCTAACCCGCGCCCCTGCAGCAGCCGCCCCTGGTCCCTGGAGCAGCCGCCCCTACAGCAGCCGCCCCTGGTCCCTGGAGCAGCCGCCCCTGCAGCTGCCGCCCCTGGCCCCTGGGGCAGCCGCCCCTGCAGCAGCCGCCCCTGGCCCCTGGAGCAGCCGCCCCTGCAGCTGCCGCCCCTGGCCACTGGAGCAGCCGCCCCTGCCGCTGGCCCCTGGGGCAGCCTCCCCTGCAGCAGCCGCCCCTGGCCCCTGGAGCAGCCGCCCCTGCAGCAGCCGCCCCCCCCCCCCCCCCCCCCCCCCCCCCCCCCCTCCGCAGTAGCCGCCCCTGGACTTCTGCAGCCGCCCCTGGCCCCTGCAGCAGCCGCCCCTGGAGCAGCCGCCCCTGCAGCAGCCGCCCCTGGCCCCTGGAGCAGCCGCCCCTGGAGCAGCCGCCCCTCTGCAGCAGCCGCCCCTGGAGCCCTCGCCCTGCAGTGGTGCCGGCCTCGCCGTTTCTGCCGTTGTACGCCTGCCCTTCTTGCCACTGGTGAGCACTGTCCTGCCCGTACTGCTGTTACTGCTGCTCCTGCTGCTACTGCTGCTACTGCTGCTACTGCTGCTCGTGCTGCTCCTACTGCTACTGCGCTTTCTACTGCTATTGCTGCTCCTGGCGTGGCCAGATGCAGCTCCAGCGCCATCCCCGTGAGTCCCTCACGCCCCAACAGCTTCATGAGTGGTACGCTCGTTGGGGTTGTCGGGGTGGCCGTAGTGGGAGTCGTCCTGGAGTGAGTAGTTCCGGAGCTTCTTGTAGTGGCCAGGTGCAGCTGCAGCGTCGTGTGCGCGCGGTCCCTTCGCCCCCGCAGCTTCATGAGTGGTACGCTCAGCGTGGAGGGTCACGGGGTTCTGCTCGCTGCCCGTACGTCATTCGCACTGGTGCTAGGACTGGCCAGCCTTGCGGGACGTTTGGTCACACAGAGTCCCGCTGCTTCGCCAGTCTGAGCGACGCCTGGCGTACAGAGTTTGGCGACGCGGCTGAGCTCCCCGACTGGGTGGAGCTGCTTAGGCAGAGGGTAGATGTCTATGCTCTTGACTATGATGCTATCCTCACTGCCATGTATGCATTGCCTACTAGTGATGAGGGTGACTGTTACCTGAGTGTTCCGCCCGACCCGGGCGGTGCAGCTGCTGCTCTAGGTGCCAGTGAGTCTGCTGCTCCAGGTGCTAGTGAGTCTGCTGCTCCAGGTGCTGGTGAATCTACTCTCTCAGGTACCACGTCTGCTCAGGCGTCGCACACTTTCACCCTTGACTCGGGTGCTTCCCGCTCCTTTCGAGACCACACCACTCTCATGCCGCTCAGTCGGCCGGTTGCGGTCTCCCTGGCAGACCCCTCTGGGGGTCCTGTTCTTGCCCACTACTTTACTGTTCTACCGTGTCCAGCGGTCCCGTCTGGCTCCCTGTCAGGTCTTTACCTCCCCTCGTTCTCTACGAACTTGGTGGCGGGTGCTGACCTACAGGATGGGGGGGTTGACCAGTTCACTCCTGCGCGTCAGCGGGTGACCCACTGCACGTGTGCAGACACGGGCCGACACTTGGCCACGTTTACCCGTCGGCCGGAGTCGAGACCCTGACTACCGAGTCTTCTCCGGTTGCTGTGCCTTGTCAGGTCGCTGCATCGGGTCAGGTGTTTGCTGCAGCGTCTCGGTCTGGTCCTGAGTCTGCCCCCTGCTCGTGTCGCCTCCTGTCCCACCAGACTCTTCTCTGGCACCACCATCTTGGTCACCCCTCCCTGCCTCGTCTCCGAGGCATGGCGTCTCATGTCCTTGTCTCTGGTCTCCCCCAGCCTCTCCCTCCCCTCCCTCCAGGGCCTGCCCCTACCTGCGTTCCCTGCGTCGAGGGGCGGCAGCGCGCCGCTCCTCACTCCTCCGAGTTTCCGCCGACAGAGGCTCCGCTGCAGAATCTTCGTATGGACGTGTGGGGCCCAGCTCGCGTCCGTGGACAGGGTCACGAGCGCTACTTCCTGCTGGTGGTTGACGACTACTCGCGTTACACCACAGTCTTCCCCTTGCGCCGCAAGGATGAGGTCACTGAGGTGTTGATCGACTGGATCCGCGCTGCTCGTCTCCAGCTCAGGAAGAGTTTCGGCTCGGACTTTCCTGTTCTGCGTCTGCACTCCGACAGAGGTGGAGAGTTTTCCTCCGGCCCTCTGCGAGCCTTCTGTCGTGCGAGGGGCATCCGCCAGACGTTCACGCTTCCGGCCTCTCCACAGCAAAATGGGATTGCTGAGCGCCGCATTGGCATGGTCATGGACGTCGCTCGTACGTCCATGATCCATGCGGCTGCTCCCCATTTTCTGTGGCCGTTTGCGGTTCAGTACGCGGCGCATCAGATCAACCTTCAGCCCCGGGTCTCCATGCCGGACACCTCTCCCACTTTGCGGTGGACGGGGAAGGTTGGCGATGCGTCTGCGTTCCGTGTCTGGGGATCTCGGGCTTTTGTCCGAGACTTGTCTGCGGACAAGCTGTCCTCCCGTGCAGTTCCGGGGGTGTGTGTGTGGAGTCCGGGGGTGCTACGTCTGGAGGTGAGACACTTGAGGGTATTGGGACTGCCGGTGCGCGGCCTACTTGGAGTGGCCGCCTTCGTCCGCGTGTGCCTCTCACCCCACAGCAGCTGCACGACTGGTACGGTCGCCGTCAGGGTCGCGCTGCTGGAGCCCGGGGCTCTGCTACTGGAGGTACTTCTGCTGACGTCCCTGGAGCTAGGAGTGGTGCAGTTACTTCGTCTACTGGAGGTGCTGGAGTCGCTAGTCTCGGAGGTGCTCGTACTCGAGGTACTGGAGCTGCTGGGGCTGGGGGTGCTGCGTCTGGGGGTGCCGCTGCTGGAGACGCTGAGGCTGGAGACCCTGGGACTGGAGGTGCTGGTTCTGGGGGTGCTGCTGCGGGAGACTCTGCGGTTGGAGACCCTGGGGCTGGAGGTGCCAGTTCTGGGGGTGCTGCTGCTGGTGACGCTGGTTCTGGAGG